TAAGGAGGCAGAGAAGGAGAGATGAAAGTAGGGAAGACAAGAAGGTAAAAAAACAAAGTGAGTGAAGAAAAAAGGAAGTTGAGAAGAGGGGATGTGGAAGGAAAGGAAAGGAGGAGGTAAAAGAAAAAGGAGAAAATAAATGGAGGGAGGAGGTTGAGAAAAAATGTCAAAACAAGGAAAAATAAGGTCAAGGAAAGAAAGGTAGGAGGTAGAGAAGAAGAGAACGAAACCAATGAAAAGGGGTGTATGAGAGAAAAGGGAGAGTTACAAAACTGAGGAGGAAGGAAAAGAAGGAGGAAGGTAAGAAAGAGATGGAGGGTGGACAATATAGAGAAGGAAAGGAGAGAAGGAGAGGGGGATAAGGAAGGTAAGGAGAAGGAATCAAATGAGAAGGAAGGGAAGGAAATGAGAAGGAGGAGGTAGGGGGAGAAATTTGATCAATAAGGAGGCAGAGGAGAGAAGAAAGAAGGGAAGACGAGAAGGTAAAAAAAAGTGGGTAAAGGAAAAAGAAGTTGAGAGGAGGGGACATGGAAGAAAAGGAGAGGAGGAAGAAGGGGAAGTATGGAAGAAAAAAGAACAAAGGATTAAGATGAAGTAAGACAATTAAGCATAGGGAAGAAAAGAAAAGGAGGTAAAGAAGGAAGGAAAGAAATTAAGAAAATTAGGAGATTATGAGAAGGAAAGGAAACGGAGGAAAGAAATGGAAGAAAGAGGTTGAGGAAAAAGTGAAGAAATTAGGAAGAAAATGGTCAAGGGAAGAAAGGTAGGAGGTAGAGAATGAGATGAGAGATAGAGACAAATGAAAGGAGGTGTATGAAAGAAAGGGGCAGGTAGGAGGAATAAAAAGGGGGAAGGTAAGAAAAGAGGAGGTAGGAAAGGAAAGAAGATAGAAGAAGGAGAGAGAAGAGAGGGAAAGAGGAACAAGGAAGACGGAATGAAGGAGAGAATGAGGCAGAAAAGGAAAGGTGGAAAGGAGACTAAAAAGAAGGAAAGCAGAGAAGCAAAGGAAATTAGAACAAATGGAAGGAAATGAGGAGGTAGGGAAGGACAGGAGAAGATATGGAGGATTCTGGGAGATGGAGTTCATCCACACACTGAGATTTAAACCAGCATCAGGAGGAGTGTGTTGTTTTTGGTTTCAGGTTGAATCCCATTGCAGCTGTTGCCATGGCTGCCCGGCTGTATTTCCATGGAAACTGGGTTTATCTACAACACCCGAGTGGTACCTGCTGTTGCTCTCAGGTGTGTGTGCGTGTGCGTGTGTGTATGTGTGTGTGTGTGTGTGTGTGTGTATGGCCATGTTAAGAAAAGAAAAAAGGAAATAAGATGATAGTAAAGGCAATATAGACGGAAAGGAAAGGAAAGGGGGATGTAGGAAAGGAGGAATGGAAGGATCATGGTCAGACTAATGTCCTAAGGGGCCACAGGAAAAATAGGTGTTGTGAGGCCCCTGGAGTTTCTGGAGGCCAGTTGGTGATCAGGACAGAAAGAGAGAAAGAGGAAGAGAGGAGAGCAGAACAAAACTGGAATAATAAAAAAAAAGACCAATTAGAGCTGACAGTGTTCTCTCTTCACCTCTTCCTCCTCCTCCTCCTCCTCCTCCTCCTCTCCCTGTCGGCCTTGTTATCCTCCCTGCTGCAGCTTCTTCACACAGAGATGATGAATGGACAGAGACGAGAAAAGAGAGATGGGAGAGTCATAAAGCAGGTGGACAGGCAGAGAGAAGACATGTCCGTCATTTCTGTGAGAGAGAGAGAGGAAAACAGAAGAAGAAGACGAAGAAGAGGAGTGGATGGAGACACTGAGGAGGAGTGGGAGAGGAGGGAGACCTGGACCTGCATCAGTTCTGATGAGTCACAACTGATGTTTGTGTTTTTAAAATGACTTTTAAACTTTATGCAACAACAGTGTTGTTACATCATGTGATTACCAGATCAGATGTTTCCCCCCAATCAGAAAACCAATCAAACTAATGTTAAAGTGACGCTGGCTCGTCACACAGCTCGTTAGCAGCTGTCAATAATAAAGCGTCTGCAGCTGCAGCTCCTGGTTCTCAGGTTCATTCAGAAACTCAGTGGGAAGATGATGTGAGATCCTTGGAATCTGTTTCCGTTTTTTTTTATAAAAGGTGTAAAACAGATACAGTTGAATGCAGTTAATATTTTATTTGAACTCGTAGTGCTTTGCGAGCTGCTCATGGTTTGTTGTGTTGACTCCATGTTTTGTTTTGGACACGTGTGTTATATGTTTGTTTTCACATGATGAAATAAAACCTACATAAAGCTGCTGTTTTCACTCAGACAACCAATGACAGCGCAGCCAGTGACACCTTTGTCCAATCAGGTGCAGGAAGGGTTTGCGTCACCTGCCAATCACCTGTTACTCTGATTGTTATATTGACTCAGATCGCAACTAAAGATCATTTTCCTTATTGATTACTTTACTGATCATTCGATTAATTAATAGTTTAACTCAATAAATTGTCAGAAAATGTCTCGTTCTGTCAGAATAACAGTTTAAAAGCCAAATATCGTCACAGAAAATATTCACCTATAAATGACTCTTCTTTTTTTCTTTTTTTTTTTTTACTTTTTTGCTTAAAAAAAAAAAAGTTGCTGCTGCTGCTGCTGTTGTTGTGTCACATTTTGTCACCGGTACTTCGACTGTCCCGCAGCTGCAGACACGTGTGCGAGTCCTGATTAATAGAACATGATGTCCGGCTGATGGTGGGATTGTCTGTAGATTCCTCAGCTGCGTGCAATGTGAAACTACGCTAAGTTTGTTTTTGCATATATTTTCAACGCCATCTCTGCTCTTGCTCAAGGGCACACAAGCAGGACAAAGTGTCTGTTTTTGGGGCTTGAACCTGCGACTTGTGTTGCATATTCTTTTGCATATACAGTGAATAATATCAAAGCAAGCAGCGCTGGGTGGAGAGTCTCTGTCTCACCGATATAAATGAGATTATGTTCCACCTGTCAGACTGTGTGTGATCCGTCAGAGGAGGGTGAATGTCAGTGGGTTCATACAGGTGACAAAATGTTAATGTGAGGCTGTGGATCCTGCAGACGTCTCCTGGCTGCTCGTTCAGTCTAAATGTGACATCAGAGCAGGAATAACATCTAAAAATGACTGAGAGGAGAGAGGAAGTTTCAGTCCTCGGTTGAATATTGAGACTAAAACACACTCATGTTTCTGTTTGTGTGAGTCTCTGTGATGATTTTAATGATCGGTCTGGTTAGTTAAAGGCCTCAGGATGCTTCAAACCAACCATGTCGTAAGGGTTAGGGTCTGCTGTGTCTCTTTAAAGCCTTGCTGCGATTAATCATTAACATTCCAGACAGTTTTCAATCGATTCATGATGTTGCACATAAATAAATAAATATCAATCCAGTCCAAACCCTGCACGGATTCGGCAACTGTCTGTTTGTCGGGTTTGGAAAGTGATGAAAATTATGGGCTGCAGCCACCAGCTGATCCCATGGTTGGAACAGTGGTTTTAGGTGTTGTTAGATGGGTGGTGAAGAAGTGTTCAGATCAGTAAGAGCAGAGTATCATGGTAAAAATAATCCAAGTCCTGCATTCAGAGTTTTACTGAAGTACAGAAGCAGCAGCATGTACTCAAAGTATGAAAAGTAAAAGTACTCATTAGCTCCTGTCAGTGTCATTACTCCACTGCTGGATCATTATTACTGAGGCAGGTACTTTTATTTAGTAGTTGTTTAAAGTGGAGCTAACTAATAGTTTAATCAATAACAATGTATCATATATTATAAGCTGATCACAATTTGTATGTAAAATTATGATCATCAAAGCAACGGCTGTCATAAATGTCAAATATTTCCCTCTGAACTGAAGTGGAAATAATGACGGAAAACTACCTTAAAACCGTACATGAGTACAGAACTTGAGTAAATGTGCTTAGTTATATTCAACCACTGCAGACAAACACTTAGTTTGAAGCATAATGAGACCGTTAACCTCGGCTAGCAATTAGCCGGTCTTTAGCCAGGTCTTTGGCCGGTCTTTGGCCGGCCTTTAGCCAGTCGTTAGCCAGTCATTAGACAGTCTTTAGCTTGCGTCCTTCTGATCAAGTCATCACTGTCTGGTAAAAACCTCTCACCTCCAACATGTTAACTCTTCTTCCACCTCTGAGCAGGTTTTATAAAAAATAACTCAAACAGGAACTAAATTATGATCAGACCTGGAGGCAGGAGGTTTTTCCAGTAAACAGCAGCAGAGAGGAAACAGTCTGTAAAGAACATGTCAAACCCACAGAGTGAACACGAGGACAGAGAGACGATAAACAACTCATTTTCTCTGAGAGGGGACAAAAAATAAAAGTTGGATTTTCTGACCTTGGAGACGAGTTGTTTTGCAGAGCAGCAGGTTTGAGCTGGATCGTCTACGATGAACAGTGAATAGATGAACAGATGAATAGATGAACAGATGAATAGATAAGTAGATAGTAGGATCCAGTTTGGGTTGCAGGTCTTGGTGAGATACAGGTCTCTGTGTTTGGGTGACTCCTCGGTGACGAAGACTTCCTGGAGGAGATTTTGGAGAGGTGAAGGAAGAGCAGCCAGGTTGGACTGGTTTCCACACTGTCGGCCGTTTCCAGTGTGAAGTCAGTCCGTCAGGCACCAGTATACATTTAGACAGTTAGACTGGTTCCTAACACACAGCGAGTGAACAGGCCTTTAGAGGAATAAAGAACAACCAGCTTCTGCACTTGTGTTTTAAGACTTACAAACCTTTATTGATCGACCACAGCGTTCATTAAATTAACAATAAATAAGTTAACTGTGTATATTTCAACCTCATGTACAGATTAAATCATGTGGTGATCTTTACAGCCACAGTGTTAATGTGAGAATTTAGAGGAACAGGAAGTTTGGAGGTTGAGTTTCGGATCAGTGAAATTGATCAAATGGACCAGAGTGACACGGCGGGAAACGTCACGTCGCTGCGTGTTAGGAAGCCGGGTCGAGACCGGCGGATCAGTGGCTCTTTGGTTTGGGGAGGCGAGAAGAGCTGGAGGAGCAGGCCAGTGCTTTTAGCTTAACCCCAGAAGAGCCGCTGCTCTCTGGGTCATGAGGCGTCGACGGCTGCTTGGGCGCCCTCGTCTTTGGAGGGAGGGCAGCGGCGGAGGTGCAGGCGGAGCTTGGGTCAGGTTTGGAGGTCTGAGACAGGAAGAGGTGGAGCTTGGAGGGCTGGGGGAGCTTCAGGGATCTGCTGCAGGCTCCTCTCTTCTCCTTTGTTGATTTTTTCCCATCATCCTGTCTTTCCTCGGTGGTGGAGTCAGTTGTGTCGGTGTCAGCGGGGATCTTAGAGCAGGGGTTGGCTGGAGGCGGAGCTCGCGTTGGCGGTGGCGGTGGGACTCGGTCCATCAGTGGTTCCTGGTCTTCCTGGGTGGAGGAGTGAAGTATCTGTAACTGAAAAACACAGAGAAACACCAACTGATCGTTAGTTAATTGAGATTATTCTGTCATAGGTGTAAAATCAGACACTGAATCAGGAACCAAGTGGAATCGCTGCAGAGAGGGTCTGAGGAACTGGACATTATTCTGATTTTATTTGTTTTCTTTTGTTATCACTGCTGTTATTTTGTTCACATTGTTTCCACTGTCAAATGTGGTTGGACTGAGTGTTGAGGTCATTAACAGAGCTGGGTGTCAAACTTTGATACTTTTATGGAAAAACTGAATTTGTTTGACACGAAAATGCCTCATCTTGTCATTTGATACCAAATTTAAGGAGTAAATGAGTAGATCTCATCAGCGTCAGTGAGCCAATCAGTATGCAGCATGCTTGGACCAAGATCTAATAATGCTGGTGATTGGCTGTTTATTTAAACAAACATGTTTGAGTCTGTAAAGAGACCGAGCTTCATAAATAAAATAAAGGAAAAATGCTGTTTTTGTTAAAATAGATTAGAACAGTAGAGAAAAGTCAGAATCTTTACATTCTGAAAGTATAGGTGACACTTCATTACTTAAAAGAATGAAAATTAAATTGATAATTAAATCTGATAATTACACCACCAGATCACGATGATTTCTCACTAACCTCCATGTTCTCATCACAAATCACAAGTATATCAGCTTCTTTCATTCTATATTCATTTGAGTCAATGAGGTCAGTTAATTATAAGCTGCAGATGAATTTGAAACCAGCTCCAAACGACCAAAATAAATGACGTCAGTGTATGAGGGCCACACTGAGGAAAGGAAAAATCATAACTTTCGAGAACAAAGTCGTATTTTGAGAATAAAGTCATTATATTATGAGAATAAAGTTGTAATTTTACACAAAAAAAGGTCATAATCTTGCACGAATAAAGTTGTAATTTTAGTTTAGGTGTTGTTTTAGAGGGTGAATATCAGAAGCTTTAAAATGTAGGAATGTAGAGCATTTATTATTATTCTATGTTTTACTCTTTCGAAATTTCACATTTTACATTTACACTCATAAAATTACAACTAAATTCTCATCATTTCAGATTTTTTTCCCCCTAATACTACACCATAATAAATAAAGAAAGACAAATCCAGACTTGTACGTAGATCAGGACTCATGGTGTCTGTATCTCTGCTGCTAGTTTCTGAAACACAAACAGATGCTGTGAGACAGAGTCTGATCCGCCTCTTGTTCTCAGCCTGTTTTAATATAATAAAGAGAGACAGACAGAGAAACAGAGACAGAAACTGAATCTCCTTTGTTTTATAATTTATCACATGTTGCACAAAAAAAAAAAAAAGAACCTCAGTGTCTGAGATTGAGAGAGGAAGAGGAAGAAAGAGTAATTCTCTCAGATGACTGGTCATTTTACACATCACCGCTTTGATCTGTGTGTGTGTGTGTGTGTGTGGCTGCTTTTGATCTATGTCGTTGACTTTGATGTGTGTGTGTCCTCCTGTCCCTCCTGTTACTTTTGTACGTGTGTGTTGAATGTGAACTATCTGAACATTATACTGTCTTTAAAAAAAAAGTCTGATGTTGATGCTGCTCTTCAACTTGAAACTGCTGGATGAACACAAACAGAACTGAGGCTGAAAATAAATCTGATGAAAACGCTTCAGCCTGACAACAATATTTTTCCTGTTTGTTTTCATCTCAGCATCTTTATTTATCTGGTTTTATTCACTTTTGTAACAGCTTCTACTGACATAGCTCTCCGCTCCGACTCCAAAGACATACACATACATATAAATAATACCTTTGCTTATATTGAACTTTCCTAATCAGAGTTACAAAGTGCTGCATGTCATTCCCCTGCTCTCTGTCCCTGCACGTTCTGTCAGTCTCTACTGTCCTGTCAAATAAAGGCAAAAAAAATGCCCAAGAAAAAAACAAAGAAAAAAAAAAAAAAGACCCCAGCGTGACTGGGGCGTGTCCTAGCAACATGTCAGTAATGTAACCAGGGATCTCACCATGCTAAGCATTAAACGTTATAAACAATAGTTAAAGAGCAGCTTATCTTAGATCTGAAAGATGTCCCGCGGTCACCACTGAAACTAAAAGGTGACAGAGTCTTTGCAGTGGCTGTTGATGGAACCAGCTGCCGTTAGAAATCAGATGAGCTCCCTCCATCTTTATTTTTAAATCTCCACTACAGACACATTTTTATTCACTGGCCTTTTAGTCCGTTTTCATAATCATAATTGAGTGTTTGTCATTGTTGTCTTCGTGTTCTTGTTAGTTTGGTTATATGTTTCTGTATAAAGGATATTTACTCTGTTTATTCCTCCACGCCACCGACAGTCAGAGCTGGAGCCATTTAGTTTTCAGGTTGGCCGTCCGTCACATTCTCATAGACATGATATCTCAGTAACACCTTGAAGAAACTTCTTTAGGTTTGTCACAAACATTCACTTGGACTGAAGGGTGAACTGATTAGATTTTGGTGGTCAAAGGTCAAAGTTCAAAGTCACTGTGAGTTATGGCCAAAAACATGTTTCGTGAGGTCACAAATTCATACACTAATTATGACACAATTGAACTCAAACATCCATAGGGATAAAATGAAGTGATGACATTTTATATCCAAATGGTCAAAGGTCAACTTCACTGTGACATCATAATGTTCTCCAAAAACACTGGACATTATTCAGTGCGGTAACTCAGGAAGGAGAGATTGTGACCATATTTCCTGTAACTTGGCTGGTTGGCGGAGGGATACAACTGCGAGGTGGTGATTCTAGTTACTTATGTTATACATTTATTTTAGTTACTTTTATTTATTTTAATATCCTTTGTGCAACACTTTGTCCAACTCCAGCTGAGTTTAACTGTGCTCTAGAAATATACGCGACTTGACTTAAAATCTATTCTAAACCTCAGAGGGAGGCATGGATTACTTTTGTATAATTTTAGACATATTGTCCTTAGACGAAGGAAGCAGGACTGTTTGTCAAATAAGTCGAAAATCCACCAGATTGTGAGCAGAGGAGGTCAGTTGGACCAAATAATCTAAATGAACCGAAAGATGAAGTGATTTTAAGATACTTCTGTGCTGTCCAGCTGTTGACAGTTGAGGAGCTGAGTTATATCTAAAGTCTCACCAGGTTTAGCACATATAGCTGTGTGCCAGCGCGCATATGCATGAAAATCAATACAGTGTGTTTGAGAAAATGTGGCTGAGTGGAAACATGTAAATAGGAAATAAAAGATGTAGGAACTAGGAACTTGATACGATCTCTAAAACCCAAAGTGTTGTGTTTGGCTGAGGTCTGGTGTGTACATTACTACATCATTATAAATCTCAGCATTCATATGTATATATATATATATATATATATATATATATATAGAATAACCCATAAATTAAGGAGAAATCATGAGTGAAGACTGTAAAGTAAGTGAGTTCCCTCAGGTGTAGACTTACAGCAGCAGCTCAAGGTGATAACAGCTGACTAGTTATTACTTCAAGTTTGCCAGGATCAATAAACTAAGATTGCAGCACATGATGGATGTCAGCGCTCAGTGTGTGTTACTCTAATTCTCAGTGTAAATCAGATTATCAGGGTGTAGATGAGAGCAGGCTGCAGGATTAAAGTGTGAAGAGCATGGAGGAGCTTAACACATCTGTATCAGTCACACTCAGTTACATCCAGCAGCTGTTCTTCTTCTTTGGTTGGGACAACTAATTACACCTGGGGACTATTTTCAATTTTGCTTTCTTTTCTTTGTCCCACAACAACGTCTCATATGGATGTGGTTACTGATATGAAAAAGCGAAAGGTAAGTGGACAGAGACACATCATCTTGTAAACATGTCTGTACAATTTTAAATTGTTAAAATTTTGTTATTTTAATTTTCAAAATCTCTTTCTGAAAATCTTCTGTTGATGTAAGAGAAATATGAAAGCTTTTGGTAACTAGCGCTGATGTACCTCAGGTTTGGTATCAATACAAAACAATACTTTTTTTGATTCTTTAATTTTAGGAATAAATATGGAAGTGCTGCGAGGCAAGTGAAAGTTATTTTTGTGTGTGTTTTTGTAATACTCATTTCGGCCACAAGACGCTGAAGTGCACCACCACCACAGTCTAAATACAAATATGCATTCATGTTCAAAACATTCACAGCCTCTTGTGGCTGAAATGAGTATTACAAAAACAAAACATTTTTCTTTTCCTTGCCCTCGAGGCTTCCATAATAAAAATAATAAAAAAAAATCTAAATAAAAGAATAAAATAAAATGCTTTTCTCATTCAACAAAAGCTTAAGTTATTGAGCTTGTCAGAATAAAATACAGTAAAATTTGCCAAATTTTGATTTAATTTAGAAACAGTCTGATCAAAGAATTAATAAACCAGACTGTGAATCAGGTATTCATTGCCAGCTTTCAGTACTTTCAGCAGTTATTGATACAGACACATGTTGAGTAGCGTCAAAAAGTGTTGTGGTTCGATAACCAGCCATATTCTATATTAGAAACCACTAACTCAATTTAGGCAGCTTTATGTCTTTGTGGTGCATTCGCTTTAGTCTTAGGAACAATGAAAAAAAAATTAAAATCTCATACAAATAGAGGAGATGCTCTGCGTTAGGGCTAAAACTAACAGTTATTTTCATAGTCAACAAAACATCAGAAAAGAATCACAAATGCCGCTCACAACTTTCTACAGCTCGAGACGACATCTTCAAATCTCTTATTTCATGCAACAGTCAAAAACCCCAAAGGCTGGGGCGTCGCGTCGCGTAGCGGGTTACACAGGCGCCCCATATATAGAGGCTACAGTCCTCGCTGCAGCTAGCCCCCGGTTCGACTCCCGCTTCAGACGGCCCTTTCCTGCGTGTCATTCCCCCTCTCCCTGCCTCCCCATTTCCTGTCTCTCTACTGTCCTGTCCATTAAAGCCCAAAAAAATAATTAAGAAAAAAACAATACCCCAAAAGCTGTTCAGTTTACAACCCTTTTAACACACAGG